ATTCTTGTAAGGTCTTCCTTGTTCAGTGTCCAAATATTGCACTTTATTAGACGTCCTTGACTCTCCCTTATTCAATCTATATTGAATTCAATCTACATCATATTCCTATGATGCAAGGAAGGAAACCATGGCTTGGGTCAGTCTCACCTTTGGCCTCCAAGTAACATCTTTGCTTTTCAATACTCTGAAGATGTCCTGGGAAGGAGATTTACCTAACACGGTACATCTTTTGATCTCTTGACTGTTGCTTCCATGAGCATTGATTGTGGATCCAAGAAAGACAAAATCCTTGACAGCTTCAACCTTTGATCTATCATGATGTTACCTATTGGTCCAGTTGTGAGGATTTGGGTCTTATATTGAATTGTAATGCATACTAAAGGCTCCCATCCTTGATCTTAATCAGCAAGTGGTTCAATTGCTCCTCACCTTCAGCACGCAAGGTTATGTCATCTGCATACCACAGGTTGTTAAGCCTTCCTCCCATCCTGATGCCGCCCTCTTCCTTATATAATTCAGCTTCTCTGATGATTTGCTCAGCATACAGAGTGTACAAGTATGGTGAGAGGATACAACTCTGATGCACATCTTTCCTGATTTTAAACCAGGCATTGTGCCCTTGTTCTGTTCACACAACGCCTCTTGATCCAAGGACAAGTTCTGAATACGCACAATGAAGGGTTCCGGAACTCCCATTCTTCTCAAGTCATCCACAGTTTATCATAGTCCACACAGTCAGATGCCTTTGCATAGGTAGTGAAGCAAGTAAACATCGTTCTGGTACGCTCTGCTTTGAGCCAAATTCTATTTGACATCAGCAAGTTCCATTTGGCATCAACCATACTCCTTGTTCTATGTCCCTCTGAATATGGCCTGAACTTCCAGCAGCTCCCTGTCAATGGACTGTTCCAGCCATTTTGGGACGATCTTCATCAAAATTTTACTTGTGTGCGATGCTAATGACATTGCTCTATAATTTGATCATTCTGTTGGGTCTCCTTTCTTTGGAATGGGCACAAATGTGGATCTCTTTCGGTCAGTAGACCAGGCAGCTGTCTTCCAAGTTTCCTGGCACAGACAGACGAGTGAGTGCTTCCAGGGCTTCTTCAGCTTGCTGAAACATTTCAGTGGGTAGTCTGTCAATTCTTGGACCCTTATTTTTGGCTAATGCATGCAGTGCAGTGTGAACGTCTTCCTTCAGGACCATTGGTTCTTGCTCATGAGCTATGGAGAAGGCTTTCAGGGGTTTCTGCCTCCAAAGTGAGCAGCCAAGTCCTTCTTTAATGTCTGTGGGGAAGCTTCCCTGAAGCCTGCTCACTGGGTGACTCTGACA